ACACTTGTCTCAAGAGGCATATTTTTACATTCTTATGAGTCCTGCAGGATGAGAGACTCAGTATTTCTTACAGGGGGCATGTAAGTACAAGCTGCACATTTATTTTTTAGTTCAGAAGGCAACAAATTAGGTGAAGTATGCTTAATAATAAATAAATCTAAGCATTTCTCACAGGGAATATTATTTTTACAGTGCATATGAGTCCTGCAGGATTAAAGCCTCAGTATTTCCTAAGCAGGGGCAGTTAAGTGCAAGTTTCATCTTTATTTGGGGTTTTAAGGTAACTAATTGGATGAACTATGCCTAATAATAAATCAATCTAAACATATCTCAAGGGGAATATTATTTTTACAGTGTATTTCCTGAGCAGGGGGCAGTTAAGTACAAGTCTCAGCTTTATTTGGGGTTTTAAGGTAACAAATTAGATGAACTATGTCCTAACAATAAATAAACCTAAACACATCTCATGGGAGGTATTATTTTGACAGTGTACACAAGTCCTGCAGGGATAGAGCCCCGGTCTTTTACAAGCAGGGGCACTTAAGTACAAGCTCATTTTTAAGGCAACAAATTGGATAAGCCACACCCACAGACTGTATAAAGATGGACTGTGGGGAGGGTGATGTCACCGAGAGCGTTTGGCTCCAGTCAAATGAAACTCATCAAGGCTAGCAGTTATAGGAGTAGATTTGGAGCGGAGAACCATACTTGGAATTGTGACCGCGAGTGTCATAGCAAGCAACAAGGTTGTACCTGAATGTTCATATTTTGGGCGAACGTGAACTGAATACATTGTATTACTGCCTGGTGAACGAACTGAGAAGGTGTTCATTCTGGTGTCTAACAGCATGCACTTCTATTTAACTTTGATCATTAGGGTTCCAGATTTCTTTAGTGTTCCAGGGGAAAACCCGGCTAAACACACCGTAAAGAGGCCGCAATATTTAGTGGAAAAACATTCAATCTGGCAACAACACGAGCCATCAGTGTCACATCGCTGCATGCATCATCAAAACAAGGTAAAACAAAAAAGCTACTGCACATGTCTCCTGTAGAAAGAGACTCTGTCCTGTCTGTATCATGTCTCCTGTAGAAAGAGACTCTGTCTCCTGTATGTCAGAGTTTCGTAGGATTTCAGCAGATTTCAGACTCTCCCGGGGGGCGGGGATAGGTGTATTGATCAGATATGAGTGGATGTCCGGCTACTACTCAAGTTTGAAACGTTTCTTCTCTTCATTTATGTATATGGGTCATGAAGTCGTATCCCCCTCACTCATGTTAATTTAGCATCGTACCTTATATAAACTGTTTTAGTGCTGACAACAGCACAAGTGTTGCAACTTCATGTTAATCCACATAGTTCTATGTGTTAACCGCACAAACAGCGGTACTTTCTGCACTCAGGCTGTGTGCATCCGTTGTGTTCGTAAACTAATTTGTCTGTACTGTCAGGGTGAAAGCTGCAGCTGCTCCTCGTGTGAGGATTGAACGCACAGAGCTGTTTCTTAAATGCTCATGTGAACCCTGGTTGGATAAGGACTAAACATTTGATATGAAGATGAAATCTAACACAGTTTCATTGTTAAAACTGATCAAATAATTGCTGTGTGTGGTTCTATATGGGCTTTGGCAATGATATTGAAAAATTATCGCTCACAGCAACGTATTGGGGAAAAAAAAGATGAACTAGTTAATTTAGAAATTTGTGAACTGAACTTTGAACTAGTTCATGTAGAAAATTAACTTTCCCAACACAAGCAACCAAAGAGCCAATCAGAGCGAGGCTGGTGAAGGTAACGCCCCTTCCCACCCGCACTGCTCGTTTAGCAAACGTGTCAATCAAATCTGTTGCTAGCGCTGGTGGGAGCGATTTCCGGGAAAAATGACACCTGATTTGTCTGTTATTAATGCTCAGATCTTGAATTGGAGGAAAATAGCAAAATTTAAAAAAGGATCATGCAAAGCGAGTTAATACAGACATTTTAAGATGCGACTAGCAGGTTTATACATACAGTTTATGTCTATGCCCTAATAATAAATAAATCTAAACTTATCTCAAGGGGAATATTATTTTTTACAATGATGAGTGCTGCAGGATTATTGCTCTTGTATTTCCTAAGCGGGGGCGGTTAAGTACGAGTTTCATCTTTATTTTGGTTCTAAACGGTGCAGATCAGACCCCGGGAGAGTCAATCATATCTCACACTCATGACATGTTCAAGAGGAGCTGAAAATCCACAAATCATGGAAGTCTATAGGAAAAATAACATTATGAAACTGAGCGCGGCACCAAAATGTCAAATGAGGATTTAAAATGTACTTACCCAGTCTCACAGTGACTGAACACAAATATATGCTTAGTAACCTCAGCGCGAGTCCAAATGTTTATCAAATTTATATGTTTTTGGTTTCAATACTAGCAACAAGCCTCTGCTACACTGCAAAATATGTCACATTTCCAGAAACTTGCTCATCTCTATGGAAATGTTGTTGCTTTGTCTGTAACGTTCCACAGTATAGCATTAAACATTCTCTTTCTACAGTTTCTGTAAAGTTGCTGGACCTGATTGCTTCAAAACTGTCTTCAAAACAGTTTGCAGTGGTCCAAAGTTCTTCCTCACTTACTGTAACTTCTGCATTCTGAGCATTCTAATGATTCACCATGACTTTAGAAGCACTTCATACAACCTTCACAGACCAGAGCGGAGTCCTACAACACTAGAATGCTAACAGCTCACTTCCTGATATCAAAAAATAAAATGCCTTTCAATTTAATTCAATGCAGACAATGCTATTGTTGTAGCAAATATAGATGATAAAAGATAATATTTAAACACATTTTCTACCACTGACACAAAAACCAAGAGCAGATTTAAACCACAAAAACTATTTTAGATCTACTATATTCTTCAAAAACATTAGCTGCAATAAATAAACAGCAGAATGAACCAGTATCTAGTTTGCATCTGTTATGAATCATAGAAGTTTTATGCCTTAAATCTTATCACATAGTCAAAAAATAACAAAAAGTTTCCCAGTAGTGCAAAGAAAATGTACACATAAGAAAAAATATTGTTCCAGTTTTCATATATTGAACAGTAAAGCCCTATTCCCACGGGACAAAGCCATATTGAGCAAACGTGGTGCCCTGGTGCCTGGGCACTATAGCTCACAGGTGCAGAATAAGTACAACCTGGGGACGTCTGGTAATTTGGTGTTACTTGCAGCGCATTCACATGGGATAAGCGAAGTCTGTAATTTGCAAGCAAGTCCGCAATTCTTACAAATCACCAAGGGTCCATTGGCAGTAGTAATCCTGTGTGAATAGGGCTTTAGTTGATATATTAAATAATAATTGTACTGATCAAAAATACCTTGAAAAACATGGACTCTTACTGTGAGGGGGTCAACGCTCCACAGATCTGACCTGTACACTGGCCTGATGGTATCACGCCTCCTTTTCTGCATGGACATACGCTTAGACATGGCCTTACTGTAGAACATTCTAGACAAAGCAATACTATCTCAAAGGCCGAGTTACAGGTCAGATGAGTGGAGTGGCGAGCCCTGACAATCAGGAAGAATGGTCTGAGCTGCAGTGAGCAGCGCTGCAGTTGGACGTCGAGCTTTTTGCAGTGTAAACATGAGGGTTAACTGGAAACACGTGTGAATTCTTTGGAAAAAGCGACGCAGCTCAAATTAGAGGTGCTAAAACTTTCAAATTGTTTTTTCCAAAAGACAAAAATTGTTAATGAACCGAGAACCATCAGAGGGAAAAAGGAGAGGGGGCCGAGGAGGGGTGGCAGAGGAAGAGGGAAGAGAAGAGAGGTGGAGGGAGAAAAGGAGGGAGGGGGAGGGAGAAAGGAGGGAAGGAGGAGGGAGAGGGGGAGAGAGAGGAGGGAGAGAGAGGAGGAGAGAGAAGAGGGAGGAGAGAGAGGAGGAGAAGAGAGGGAGAGAGGAGGAGAGAGGAGGGAGAGAGAGAGAGAGGGAGAGAGGAGAGAGAGGAGGAGAGAGAGGAGAGGAGGAGGAGAGAGGAGAGAGAGGAGAGAGGAGAGGAGGAGAGGAGAGGAGGAGAGAGGAGAGAGGAGGGAGAGAGAGGAGGGAGAGAGAGGGAGAGAGAGGGAGAGAGGAGAGAGGAGAGAGAGGAGGGAGAGAGGAGAGAGGAGGGAGAGAGCGAGAGAGGAGAGGAGAGGAGGAGAGAGAGGAGGAGAGAGAGAGAGAGGAGGAGAGGAGGAGAGAGAGAGAGAGAGAGAGGAGGAGAGAGAGAGAGAGAGAGAGAGAGAGAGAGAGAGGAGAGAGAGGAGAGAGAGGAGAGAGAGGAGAGAGAGAGGAGAGAGGAGAGAGGAGAGAGGAGGAGAAAGAGGAGGGAGAGAAAATAGAGAAGACTCCATATGTCATCAATACACACAATTCTATTCAAAACTCAGACATGATTTATACTTAAGGAACACATTTTTATGATTTTTTAAAAGTTATTTTAAAAAAATAAAACCTTTGTCAAATAACTGTATTTGCTAAATAGAACAGCTTCTCGCATGAACACACGGGCTCAGATAAAAAGGCCTAAAGGGATACTTCAGTCATGTGAGGTACTGCTGTTGTTTTGCTCCACTCAAGCTTTATTATATTTTGTACCAGGACTTTCCTGGTAAATCCAGACTCGTCTCTCTCTGTTTTTTATACATAGAGGATCAGTCTGGTCTCTGTGCCCACCGTCACATCTCAAGCCAGAACATGATCATCCAATCACATTTGTTTTTTTAAGTGACGCCTGTGAAACAAAGAGCTCATTGGTCGCTCATCATTTTGAACACAATCACATTGATTCCACAGAAATGTTTGTTTTGATACAGACAGACCATGCCTGTTCCTCATGATTCCTCCTGAAGAAGTGTGCATTCTGGATCCCAGGTAAAACAATGACGATACAGTGTCGTCTAATCTAACAACTAGATATCACTTCAAATGTACTTAATCAAACTCATATCAATAATACTCACTTTCCTCGCTAGTCCCAGAGCGATGTAGCATTTCTCTCCTGCATCGATGATCTCCACCTCGTAGTAATGACAGCGCGTGGACAGAGGGAGGCGAGCTTGAGCCAAACCCACGTCCATGATGCTCTTCCCTTTGCCCACGTACTCCAGCACCTGAGCACAGGAAACAGGGTTAGTGCTGCAACTGGCACTTTCCCCTCACAGCAAGAAGGTCTCAAGGTTCAGTCTCCTGGCTGGATGCTTGGGGCCTTTACTGCGGAGTTTGTTTGGGGTGAAATCATCTAAAGAATTCTAGTAAAGGTGCATGGTGTTCAAAACACAGCACTTGCTGTGTTTTCTGTTTGTGAGAAAAAATAGTCTAAATGTGGACGGTTTGTGTGTTAAACATGTGTGAATGAAACAAAACACAACTCCAGGTCTGTTTGTGATGAGGAAACATAACTTAGATCAGAAAATAATGTAATATGAGCCCTTTAAACACGTCCCTCTTTAATAACATTACTCACACTAGGCCACGGTTTGAGGGGCACTTGATACTAAAAAAAAGTTTGACAAAATATAGCCCTAGAGTACATTACGCCTCATAAATACTTACACTCTTTGCCAATTGCCATTTACACCAATTACAGAAGTGATTGATTTGAGTAATTGTTCAGGGCTAATATCTGTGGAGGTGAGTGATGTAACTGAACGCTGTTGTTTTCGTTATTAGCAGGTCGTGCTTGGACTCGATCCTGGGCCCACGGTTATTCCAGAGGCTATAGATTTTCACATGTAAAAGCAAAAATACCTCCTAATGTGTCCTTAATGTGAGAGTCCTTTTCCAATACGCCCACAGAATCTCCGGCAAGTACCAACAATGGAGCCGTAATAATTAGTCAGAGTGTTTTGAATCAGGGTTGCAGACAGGTGAAGGAGGGCGGGGCCGCGAGTAGGTGGGCAGCTAGGCAACCGCAAAGCCCGAAGCAAAGAGAAGTTTCCAGGAGGCGCAGGTGGAGATCGGGTAATAAAACTGACACTGAAAGAGTCTGATGACAGAAGAGAAACCAGTAGGCAAAGTCATGTGGGTTAAAGGACAGGATCAGGGCTGTGAAGAGTATCGAAAATCAGATTCTCATTGATACTAGAACTAGGGATGGGCCAATTTGTTGAGCCAAAGCCAATATCCGATAACTGGCCCGCTGCTGTGGCCGATAACCAATATTTACCGATACTGATACCTAGCTTTTAAAATCCACTGTGAGGCCTACAACTTTATCTTAAAGCAAGGATCACTACTGAACTTTCACTTTTGTAAAAATAATAACAAAATCTGGGAATTTAAAACATTGCTTACATTTTTGTGTACATATGCGGCCATATAACACTTGATTTCATTCAACATTCTATTTCCATTTTAAAATGTTTCTTTGTTAGTATTAATGTGATGACAAAACTCTGCTCTGGTCTCTGAAAGTTGTGAAAAGCACCACTCACAGTGGTGAACAATGAGGATGCTCAGAATACAGAAGTGAGGAAGAACTTTGGATCACTGCAAACCATTTAAAATGAACTTGTTTTGTTTTTACATTTTTAAGACACAAAAAAATTGAGGTAGATGTTATTACTGCAGAGCTTTTCAGAGCTTTTAGCCAAGTTCTAGTTGTTTCTTCTCATCATTTACTCACCTGAAGTTGTATTTGGAGTGACTGGTGCATTCATTTGAGCAACCTTTACCCACTTATTAATAAATCTCTTATTATCAGTACTAACGTCCTTAGCCATTTTTATTTTCTTAAATGGTGATATGTGCATCGATAGAGCAGCGTTGAGTAGTAATGTTGGTCCAAATGTAAAAAAAAAACAAAAAAAACTCTGCTCTAGTGTGATGTGCAGCTCTCCACAGGAGGGGCCCACAAGAGGGGCCCACAACATTCAGCGCTTTGTTGTTTACGGCCACATCAGCTCCCATTGGACACCACAGTTTTCTAACACAAAAGTCATTGGTCTTGTTTCTTATACTAAGTCATTTTCAATGAATATTGAGATTTAAGAATTATAACAGAATGATCCACAGGTGTCATAGAGCATAACTACAGAGCACGTTCTCTCAGAGTCTGTGTCTCCTCCGGGTGCTCCGGTTTCCTCTACCTCTAAACACCTGGACAGTAGGGTCCCCTGTGGGACCCTGAAAAAAGAGATTCTTCATCTCAGTGGGACTATCCTGGTGAAATAAAGGTCAAATAAACTGAAAAAAAAAAAGTGTATCTTCTTTAAAGGTAACTATGGAACTTTCTGGTGTAGGGTCCACCACCTGCTTGTTTCCAAGGAGAGAATATTGTCAGGAATATTTCACAATATCACAGAATCCAATTCATTCATCTTGCATTGGTACTTATTATTATTGCTCAAAAAGACCCTTGAAAAAGAGGCATTCTCACTCTCTCTCCACAGATCTGACCTGTCACTTAGCCTTGCTTGTTTCCATGGATATATCAGAGTTACAAACCATAATGAGGAACATTTCAGGCAAAGCAAAAACATCCAAGGAGACAAGCAGATGACAAAAAAGTTACATAGTTATTTGAGAAACCACTGAAACTTGAACTGCTAAACTAATCCAAGAATGTCCTGCATTTCAGAACATGTTTATAGAGGTCTGAACGACAGGGTTAGTCACTTTTACACAGAACAGGAGCCCATGGAGACACGGGGAGGGCATCTGACACACACGGACATTACATAGCCTAAATAATTGCAGTATTCTCATTCTCAGGTAACTCATTTGATTAATCTTGACGCTGTACTAAATCCAATATATGAGCAAGCCCACTTAAGGGACACACCTGACAAAACCACAGATATTCACCATTCAAAAACAAAGTCAAGTGTCTATTAAGCTATTAACATTTCCCACTTGTATGTTTTTCCTTGTTGCTTAGTGACCATCAAACTGCAATGTTATTTCTTTATTTAGTATATCTTGATGATTGATAAAATGTTAAAGTGTACCACAGTAAATCACGTTGGGAGAAATATAACACTAAGAAATGTAACCACAAACTTTCGAATGTACAACAAGATCTTTTAGTGATGGCCCTGCAGAGAATTTTAATTAAGATCCAATTGTTCAAAAACGCCAATCATCACCTGTGGTTTGGAGCAGAGTTCAGATTTTCATATCTTATTTGTTTTTGAAAAAGAAAACACGTGAATTTCTGGCACCACACAGCCCATCCAGAATACACACTTCTCCAATACTTTACATGGGCGTGATTGACAGGTGGATTAGCCAATCAGGGACATGTATTGCCTGTCACTAGCAAAACAACAAATATGGCTGCCATGAGGAAAAAAAGAAAGCGACCAGACTGAAATCCCTCTGTATAAATAATAGAGAGATATCAGTAATCATCTCTTGGGGTCAAAAAGGGACAGCTGAGTGTGTATACAGTGTAGGTTCGCTGTTAGCATGCTAGTTGGTACCTGTCCTCTGAAAATTGTGAAAAGATCTTAAAAAAGTGACTGCGATGAATAATTAGGATTAGGAAAGTAAGTGAGGAATAGGGCTGGGTATCATTCAGAAGTTGCAGATACGATACTTAACACTAATAAAATAAAATAAAATAAAGGCTAAATCATGGCTGTGATACTAAAAGTCTTTGTTAAATCACTTCTTGTGCAAAGTTCATATGAAACACAAACATTTTACTAATCAAAACAGTGAAATGTCAAATGTGTCGCATAAACGAGTTTCCTTTCACTAAACAAGCAACAAAATTGTAGCTGTAACAAAATAATTGAGTAAAATATACAAAAAAAATCCTCTTGGTGATATAACGATACAGCAGCCCACGATATCGATACTGTATCATCACATTAAACAATATACATAGGAATATTTTTGCACACTCCTAGTGAGGAAGAACTATGGACTAGTGATTGATAGATTGGTTGGCTGATGTATCAGGCTGATATTTGGACTTTATAGCATATCAGCTATCGGCCTTAAATCTCCAGCCCAAGCTGATGCTTGATTTGCTGCCAAAAAATACACACAAAGCTTTATTTTAACACTTTAAAAAGAAGAGATAAATGCACAAAGCGTGATATACAGCTTTGTTAAAGGTTTGTGGTAAAAAAAGGGCTGTGGATGAGTTTAGAGTAAATTTAAATCACATAATTTGAGGAAAATAATCAAAATCAGCCCCAAAATATCGACAGAGCTTTATCGGCCATATAAACAACTGGTATCGGTATTGACATTAGCCATGATAAAACTCATGGCCGATCTCGACTCTGGACTTCAGCAGAGTGAAATAGTTGAATTTTTCCCATTTCTAAGACAATAAAATGAAGTACTTAAAGGTGCTCGGTATCACTTTTTGGTCTCCATGTAGATAGAAAAGTTTAATACTGTGAAACATTCCAGACAAAGCAATAACATCTCCATGGAGAAAAGCGTCTGATGGACCCTGCAGCAAAAAAGTTACACAATGCACCTTTCATGAAAAACATCTTATCTTTAACTTTTCTAGAAAAATAACCCTACAATAGAAGAGAGTGGTAAAGTGTGGTGGTTGGCGCTGTGACAGGCCGTTCACAGGTGTCACGCAGCCGGCAGCACAAACATGAGCTGTGTGCCTCTGTGCAGTTACACTCTGATGTTGTGTGTCACGGGGCGTTCAAGTCTGGACAGTGGCTACTCCTCAGGTAACACACACATCCACACGCACACGGCACGATCATCATGACTAATGAGAGGAGGAAAGGAAAGGGGGAGGGCAAGAGGGAGAGAGAAAGAATAAGGCGGGAGAGAGGGGTGGGGATGAGAGAAGAGAGGCAGCAGGAAAAAGAGACAGAAAGACAGAGGGGAGAGAGGGAGAGAAAGAAAAAATAAGGGGAAGAGAGGGGTGGGGGTGAGAGGAAAGGAATAGCAGGAAAAAGAGGGAGAAAGAGAGAGAAGGAGGGAGAGAGAGAGAGGAAGAGAAAGAGAAAAAATCAGGGGGAGAGATTGGTCGGGGATGAGAGAGAAGGGACAGCAAAAGAACGAGAGAGAGAAAGGGAAAAAATAAGGAGAAAAAGAGGGGTGGGGGATGAGAGAGAAGGGGCAGCTGAAAGAGAGACAGAAAGAGAGAAAGAGAGAGAGAGAGAGAAAGGGAAAGAATAAAGAA